TTGTTTTTATGCCTATGTTAATAATAAATAGTGGATTTGGATCATGTTTTTAGTCGGTTTTTATTGCTAGACAGTTACAGAAAATATTTTAAAAATTTTTGAAAATTCGAAATTTTGACCTGTTTTGGCCATTTTCATACATTTTTGTGCAGAATTCAAAAATGTTCGCAAATTTTTAGAATCGTTTATGGGGGTTTTATTTATCTAAAAGCTGGGTAAAGTGCTATACAAATGGTTTGTTTTTTGTTATAGGATCGTACGTGATGATTTTCGGGATGATTTTGATTACTGGGGAAAATTGGTTTTCCCCCTAGTCCAGCACCTTTAAATTCAAGAAAATCCATAACTAACCCCTTTTCCTGCTAAAAAGAACGCTCAATACGTCTTTCCCCTGTCAATTTCCCCCTGCTAGCAGTCTAGTACCTGAAATTCAATAAAATCCATAACTAACCCCTTTTAAAAACAACGCTCAACACATCCAACCCCGTCAGAATGGCTTAAAAAATTGTATATCGAATGGAGGGTTATGCCGAGATGAGTGGTGGCCGGGGAAATCGGATTCGGCCGCCCTGCGGCTTCCCGGCGAACACAAAACGCGCGGAACGTGTCAACAAACCGCCGGGTCCAGTTCAACGCGGGACGTCAGCGAAAAGGAATTTTTGAAGCTTCTGCCCCGTGGTGCCGCTCATTAAATAGGGCTAAATGAGGCGCCGCCGTGGGGGAATATGGAGCCCAGACGGCTGCTTTTGCACGCAAAATGGCGTATAAGGACAACAAGCCTGGTGCCTAATTTGCCGGCTTCCGAAAGTCGGTTCGGCGCCCGTAAGTGAAGTGTAAAGGGCATGCGGTGGGGGCTGGACAAGGTAACTTTTGTTCGAAGAACGGGTTTTCTAGGCGAATTAATCTGGTTTCGTTTTCAAAATGTCGAAATTCTATCTTTTTCCTGGAAGATTTAGGTACATGACTATTAGCGGGGGGGAGGGTTAGCAGAAGGAAATAAAATGTTCCCAAGTCATACCAAACGGCCGTTTAAAGAAATATAATAAATTTTTATGGTATTTTCATCTAGATTTCCTAGATATAAAATAACCTAAGAAATAATTATAAAATTTTCGTAAATGTTTTAGGTAAAAAAATGTACAACAATGTACAATGAAGAAAAAAACCAAAGTTTCAGAATGTTCAGATTTTTTAGAATATCCTATTATCGTTGAAAAACGGCATAAGCTAGTTTTTTCTAGGGATTTTTTTTATTTTATTAGTTTTTATCTTTTTATACAGTGCGTATCAAAAAGATAGAGCCACTTGGTTTTTCACCTTTAACTTTGCGCCGTGGTATTTTCCAGCCAAGCTAAGCATACACAGCTTGTAGCCCTTGAAAAGACGCATCTTTCTGTGAAGTTGAAATTTTACTATGATCGATATTAAGCTTTTTATGATGAAAACAAGCAAATAGAGCCAAAAACACAAGTATCAAAAAGATAGAACCACAATTTGCATCCACTTTACATGCGCTTTGAGCTTGCAAATTACATGGTAATTCTCATGCAAATTGTCCGCTTCATTCAAATAACGAGGGCCGCAGAAAAAGCAGATTGAATAGTAGCAATAAAAGGCTAATTTTTTGATTAAGTGTTCGCTTCATTTGCGCGCTTAAAATGTTTAGAGCGGTAAAATTTTTCTGCGGCCCTCGTTGATTTGAATGAAGCGGACAATTGCATGGGAGTTACTTATGTAATTTGCACGCTCAAAGCGCATGTAAAGTGGATGCAAATTGTGGTTCTCTTTTGATACTTATTGTTTTAGCTCTATTTGCTTGTTTTCGTCATAAAAAGCTTAATATCGATCATAGTAAAATTTGAACTACATAGAAAGATGCGTCTTTTCAAGGGCCATAAGTTGTGTATGCTTAGCTTGGCTGGAAAAATAAACACGGCGCGAAGTAGGTGAAAAACCAAGTGGTTTCTATCTTTTGATACGCACTGGTAGCTCAACGAGCCGAGATGAGGTGCAGTAGTAAAACAAAAAAAAGCGAATGTTTTACATGGTCGCCTGCGGTTGTGTGCGAGATAAAAGAACGGCCCAGATCCGGGCGACCAAGAAGAAGAATCGCGTGAAATTGGAATGGATGCCCGCGGTGGGGCCTCCCAAGTCGTGCCGGGCTGATTGCGTCTTGAAAAGCCGGGAAAAGCACATCACTCCTCGAAGCCGGGCGCTCATCCCGCCCTCGCCGCTTCAAATCCGCCCGTTTCCGGTGCTGAAAGCTGGTGGCAGCGCGCGGAATCTGCTGCAAAAAACAAGGGAACCCGCAAGACTGGTTTGAGTTTGAAAAATATCTTGAATTATGGCCAAATAAATTTTAGAACTGTGGCCCCAAGGCCTGTGGCTGTTTTCCCGGAAGTGGGCACCTTTAATGCGGCCCACAGCTCTCCCACAACCCGCGCCATTCGGGCCCACGGCCCTAACAAATCCCTGGGATCTTCGTGAATAAATTACGGGAATCCCGCCCGGCCGCTCTAAAGTGCTCGGCGGGTATTCTGGGAAACGGCCGCCGCGCTGGCTTCGCCTGAAAAAAACACACAAATGGCCGTGTGAAACTGGTGGCCGGCCATCGTTTGCGGAATTTTCTGAAAACTCGCGGGTGCGAAAACAAGTTATCAAGGGATCGAGAAGGGGTTCTTTCACATTATCGGGGGGCGAAATTTTTTGAATGAATCTAGAAATTTTTAGTAGCGTAATAGGAAGTATTTCTTAGTATTGTTAGTAAAATATAACTGTATTTCAACCACAAAACTATCTAAAAACTCTAAAAAAAATTTTTAAAGCGGCGATTTGTCCAAAACGCGATCATTTTCGGGTTGAAAAATCGATATGTCCGTTATTTTTCGTAATTACCACTAAGTTTTCACGTTTTGTAATAGTCGAAAGCCGGTTATAAACAGTTCCGCCATTTATATTTGGAAAAATTGGATCCTATGAAAAATTGGTTAGCCCGTCCCGATAATGCGAAAGAACCCGAGAAGGTTTCGGATTTTCGGAAAGGCAAAACGGCTAAAGTCGGGAAAAGGCGATAATTTGAAGGGAATTTTTGAATTTGAATTTGAATTTTACGTTTTTATAGGCGATGGCTGAACGGGACGCGAATCGCAGAAGGCTTGATCTTCGGCGGCTGCTTCAGCTGGAATGGGGTGCGTTTTTCTAGAGTTGTATAAACACCAGATGGTTACAGTCGCTTCGCGACTGCAACCATCTGGCCTTCGGGCTACCCACCATGTCCCACTCCACCACATCCTTTCCCACCTCCATCAATACCCCCGACTTACAATACCAATACCCTTCAAAAACTACCTAAATACCTTCCTGATTGCTTTAGATACTTCCCCTAGCCGAAATCCCCTTAAAAAAACGAAAATAACGACCGACCGGATCGAATGAGAGAAAAAAAAGAAATGCAATCCCCGTGAAAATTTTCATCCAGGAAACGCGCGCGACCTGGCTCACTATGTCCAAAACCACCCCAACCTCGGTCCCCCACCCCTTTTACTAAGGAAAAAACTTTCAAAGTTAATTTTAATAATTTAAACTAAAACTTTTTCATAATTTTTTTATCAGTTTGGGGGTTTCTGACCACGCTCTATCCGAATCCGAAGAGAGCTAAGCTCTAGCTCCTTTCCCCTTCGAGTTGAATCCGGGACCGGACACACACACACACAGACACCTCAAGAAAATTATTTGTATAAACATTTTTCCAGGGTCTTTGCTCACTTGCTTGTTGTGCTGTGCTTCTCCTTTATCGCCCAACTATCCGCTTCGCTCAACGTCACCTCTCACGTTAACAATGCCTCCAATATTACCAATTCATCAATATCGGTATACTTTAGCCTATTAATTTTTTACAGTTTCTGAATTCGAAGTTTTAACTTACAAAAAAACATTCATTTATAGCCGATCGCCGTGAACTCGTCGCGGCCTTTGCGGCTGGCGTGGAGCGCGAAGGACACGGTCCCCGTGCCGGTGCAATTTTCTGACAATCCGAACGGTTTGGTGCTGAAACTAACCCCTATAACGAGGTCTGTATGCAGCAAAGGATTGGTGCAAGGGGTACTTGATATGTGGTCCGCTCTGTCTGGAGATGAGCTACGTGTCGGACAAGGCCAAATGTATAATGCAAGGTGAGGGCTTCTCACGCCTAAATAGGAATCTGTTTTTTAGATTGTGGCCCAGACGAGGTTCGCATCGGGCGTTGGATTGAGCCGGCGGCGTGCATCGCGTCCTCCAGACTTGTCTCGGGGCGCTTGCCGACTTCTTGGAAACACAAAGGTTCGAAATTTCGTGGTACTGGACTGTTAGCGGGGGGGGGGGGGTTAAGCAGGGGGAAACTATTGTTTTTCGCCTATACATACGTATTGCAGGTATTTTTATAGTGTTTTTAGTGGTTTTCGATTGCGAACAAGTTTTTAGCATGTGAAAATGAGGTCGTTTTAAATTTTGTTTTTAAGCATTTTGAAAATTCTAAAATTTTTACCTTTTTTTATCCATTTTTCATAGACTGTTGACCAAAAAGTAAAATTTTCGGAAAATATTAGAATGTTTAAAACTTTTATTTCGAAATGCAGTTTAAATGCTATAAAAAGGTTTATAATACGCCAGAGGGCCGTACGGTATTGTCTATTAGTACGGTACTACTAGCAAAAATTTTATTTTTCGATTATTTTATAATTTTATTTCTAGGTTGTACCGGGGACCGTCAGATCGCGTGCGCCGAATTGGGGAACGCCTCCATCTGCGTCGACTCGAAGCGCATCAAACATTTCGAGCGTGGCAAGTGTACGCTGGAAGGTTGGGGCTCACCTATTCTTAGAATTATGAAGATATTTTTAGACTGTGGAGACCATCCGGACGCGCATCCGTGCAAGCAGCACGGCAGAACGGTGTGCATGCCTTACAAAGAGTTGGAAGCCATCGACAGCGAGGACAAATGCGTGCTGAAACAGTCGAACATGTCGAATTCAGGTTGGCAGGGCTCGAAACATAGAAGAACACTGTTCTAGAAATCTCGGGCCGTTGCGGGGTGGACACGGTGTTGTGTCGACAGAAGGGACAGAAGGAGCACACGTGCGTCCACTTCTCCCGGCTCACCGACTACGGCGGCAAGGGCATCGACGATCCGCATCGTTGCTATTTTAGACGTTAGTTTTACCCTAGATATCTTCTCGTAGCGCTTGATTGCTAGAAACTTATAAAAAATAATTTAACCAATTTAAAAATTCGAAAATTAGCCTTTTTTCAACATTTTTGAGGAAACGTAAATTTTTTCGATGATTTTCAGGTTTTTTTATGAACGATGTAAAATGCTATTCAAATGGTTTATTTTCTTATAGGTTCGTATAGAATATTACTGCGAATAATTAGTTTCCTCCTGCTAACAACCCCCCGCTAACAGTCCAGTACCCCCTTTTTCAGAGTGCCCGGGCGACGACCAAATCTTTTGCAACTCGATATGCTACAAGATTTCCGAGGTGAAATCAGTCGACGTCAACGGGAAATGTGAACGTGGGGCGCCGAATAGCAAGCGAGACGCTTTTTCTAGTGCACAACCCGCCGACGAACGACTATATCGTGGTGCTCATCTACGGGTTGGTCATCATCGTCGCCGTCTTGCTGGTCATTGCCGCCACTACCGGTCAGTTTTCGGGCAAGAAAAAGAGTGGAATTTTTAGTGTTCTACCGCCTGCTATCGAAACCGGCCGACCAGGCGGCTACTGAGAACACCACCATTAGTGCTTGTTGGTTTTTACGTCTGGTTCGGCAGGAAAAATTTAGCTGCAGCCGACTCCGACAAGGCCCCATTTCTGCCGACGACGGTAGGAAGCCGTTGAATACTTTTGTTGCTTTATGGAAGGAACAAAAACGAGCGGACAAAGAAAATACTCTCATTTAGCGTCCCGAAGCGAACAACCAGGCGCCAGAGGTTTAGCCGAGGAGACGCCCGCCAGAATGCAGCACACCCAAAATAACCCTGATTTTTCTCGACGCTGTGTTTCTTCCGAGTTTTTGCTGTTTGGAATAAAATTGATGAAAAGCATTTTTGGGCAGTGGTCGTTCTGAAACCACCGGAGAACGGGAATTTTCGTATTCGTGGCCGCGGTCGCACGGGATCCTTTCCTACACTCTCTCTCTCTCGCACTCCCGCATTCTATCTATCGGTCTCTATCTCGATCTCGCTCTCTCTCGCTCTCTCTGCCCATCTCCAACAAGTTCACCGATAAGCACAAAACGAATTTATTCGACTGGTGAGCAGACAAGTAGTAAATCAAGAATGCGATGATGTAAGAAGGGAAGAAACGAATTGGCTGTCGAATTTGTCGCGTCGTCTAGGCGGCCGGCTGGCTGACTTCGGCGCTCGCGCTCGTCTGGCTCGGCTCTTGGCTCAGCTCCTTCGGCGGTTCCGGGTTTTTGCCTTCGGTTTTCGTCACCTAGGTGGGAAAGTTAGTTTTGTTTTAGCCAAGGTAAATCAGAAGAACAAAAAAATAAATGTACAGGGAAGAAGACGGCGTCGGCGCTGGCAGTTGCCGGGTCCTTGTCGATGGCGATGGCGGGGGTTGGACGGAGACGCGCGTTCGCTGGCGGCTTCACCGTCATTTGCTGGATGGTCACCTGGAAGAGTGCGTAGGTCTTATAATAAACTTGTAAATATTAAATAATAACTGATTATTTTGTTTTTATTTAGTTTATCAAAGTTTTAAAACGCCGATTTGTGCCTCCCCCACCTTCATATCGGCATCGAAGCAGACGACGGCGGCCGTGTTGTTGAACTGGTTGCAGTAGTTTGGCGCCGAGAAGACGGTGATCAACCTAGAATTAAATTCGCATTTTAGCTGGGCTTTAATCGCCCACTTCCGGCCGGCCATAATCTCGTATCCGTCCTGGATGACTTGATGGGCGCGGACGATCATGTCGATGCCCAGCATCTTGCACGCCTCCACCACCACGCCCTTGCCGAACATCAACGAGATGCCTGGAACAGGGAGATGAAGCTGATCAACGACAATCAAATACCTCTGATGGAGTTGTACCACCCCTCGCCGGCGTTCGTCGGGTCGGCCCACAGCAGGTCGATGAGCAGCCCCGTGTCGAGCGGCTCGCACGGGCGGATGATGCCGCGGATCGTGTCCAAGCTGCCGAGGTAGGGGGACAGCCCGCCGTGCATGCACAAGATCTTCTTCGCGATCAGCCCGGCCATCGGCATGCGGTTGAAGCAGCTTTGGAAGTCCCACCACAGCCCGATGCTAAAATGATCCGGCTTTATCGGCAAGTTGGCTGGGAAAAACCAGGTTAGCTAGTAGTAAACGAAGGTAACAAAGTAATAATTACCCCGGGTATCCGTATTTGAGCACGCATTCGTTGTAGAACCCGTAGATCTTGTTGATGGCCGGCGTCTCGTGGTTGCCGCGCAGCAGCGTGATGTACTCCGGGTGGCGGATCTTGAGCGCGAAGAGGTAGATGATGGTCTGAAAAGTGAGGTATTGCAAGGTTAGGTTGCCGACGCTTTGTGGATTCATTTGGCCAAAAAGCAAAAAGTTTTTGGAGGTACGGGGGTTCGAACCCCGGACTTTCCGCATGCAAAGCGGACACTCTACCTCTGAGCTATACCCCCGATGAAAGAGGCCACGCCCCTGAGCCTTGTCAAGAGAGGGGTGACTGGTCCGGCGAGATAGGTCCAAACGTCGGGTAACTTTTCATAAAGTTTCCCAGTGATTTTTGTAGTTTGTATTGTCACTCACTACATTCTCCAGCCAAAATTGAGAAGAAAACAGTTTTTCTTGGCTTGTACAGGCGTCGTTTAGTAGTTTAGTTTAGTTTGACGTTTGAAGATAGGGAACAAGCGTTTGAAATTGGTGAGGAAAATACAAAATTAGGTTTTAGAAACGACATTTAGACAAGAATGCCCCACCTATGTGATATAAACTAATTTTCCTAACTCATACCTCAATACTCTGCGGCCCACGATCAACGTAATCCCCAAGGAACACGAGCCGCTCCTTCGGCACCCGACCAATGATGTCGAAAAGCTTGTGCATGTCCTGGTATTGGCCGTGGATGTCGCCGATGACCTTGCAGGGGACCTGCTGCTCGGCCAAGCAGTTCTCCGACATGAACACCTTCTTCGCGTCCTCGATCACCTACAGAAAAGCTGAATTTCGCAGCGACCTCGAGGCCTACTTGAATGACTTGGTCGAGGGGCAACAGCTCGGCCAGGTTGACATCTTTTGGCGCAACGCCGTAGAGCTTCTGCAGCCGATCGATCACCGTGTCGATCCAATCGATTTGTGATTTGCTCTGGAAATTAAATTTGCATAAAAATAGAAAAAACACCAACCTTAGGTTCAGCCATCCAGATGAAAGGAAAAGCAAACGACCCGCCGGGAATGAATTAAAGAAAAAGTGAAATGGGGTAAGCGGTCATTTTGCTTTTATACGGGTTTTTGGATGTTAATTTCGGAAGTTGGGATTTTATGGTAATTTCGTACGTAAAATCTATTTCCGGTTTTGATCGGGTCTCGATGGAATTCCTAAAGAAGCCCTGCTGGTCTTGGATTTTTAGCAGGGGGAAACTAGTGTTTCGCAGTAATGTTGATGATGATACTGTTGATACTATCTCTGAGCTGACTTTTCTAGGCTTTTTTAGCTTACTTTTGGTTGTTTTAACTTTTCTATATGTTTTGCTTATCCGCAATCGTTATCATCAATCCCTTCCCAACGTCCACCGCCCGCTTCCAAGCCATGCGGTCCGTTTTTGTTTTTGTCAGGCATCTGGGCTGCGATTTCTTTAAAAATCACGATTTCCTGGTACACCGGGACCGGGGATATCCCTCGAAAAATCGCCCATTCATCATCGTGGAGTGCATGAGCGCACCGGATCCACGTCACAGCCTTTGCGCTGCACAGCGCGAGGCGGGTTCTTTGGGTTTTTGGGTTTGTGATGGTTGGGGTAATTGTGCGATGGACAATTTATATCTGTACTATAAATTGTGGTCTTTCTATTGTCGATACCTCGATTTTACAGCCATGAAAAGCACATAAAGAGCCTTTTTCGACGTTGATCTAAAGTTTCAAACCTTATCCGAAGTAAGATCAAAAAACCTCCGTGTTATTTAGGCTTTTACGCCTTTCATGATGTTATTTTTCGCATTTAAAAGACGGTTCGCGAGAGACCCGAACGGGCTTGGTACAGTTTTTTTCGACCCCGTTTTTTTGACGCCATCTGAAAGAGCATGGTCGAATTAGTAGGGCCGCACTATTTTGAGAATTTTAAAAAGTCATTGTCGGGGTTTAAATGGCCGCTAAAGTTGCGTACCTCAAAAATTTATCTCGAAAACCACAAGGCCGATCTTGCAGAAAATTTTTGTCAATGCTTAATTTGGGATGGGGATCATTTCTCTAATACATTGGGAAGCACGAAAATCTCAGGAACATAGGTATATGGCGTACCATAAACAGTTTTTGAGGGTTTTCTACTACAAGGCGGGTCCGGCGCATCTTGAAACTAGCATAGAAAGATGCACCGGAAAATTCTGCGTCGAATGATGTGCTTTCCAAGATGCGCCCAACTCGCCTCTAGCCGCTGTACCGTGGTTTGTACGCCGAAAACCATCAAAATTGACGTTTTTTGGGAGGATTCCCGGGCGCAGGTCAACGAGAGAGTGCGGAAGGCGTAGTGAGTCGATACAGGCAGACAACAGCCCCGGGGGAGCGAGTCGGGTGCTGCCAGAGAGCCCCCAACCTGACCACCCTAGCCGTCTCTGCCCTCTCCCCCTCTCGCACTATCTCGCATAGCCCAGCCCAGAAATCCCCCAAAAAGCGTCAATTTTGATGGTTTTTGACGTCGAAACCTCGGTACAGCGGCTAGAGGCGAGTTGGGCGCATCTTGGAAAGCACATCATTCGACGCAGAATTTTCCGGCGCAATTTTCTATGCTAGTTTCAAGATGCGCCGGACCCGCCTTGTAGTAGAAAACCCTCAAGAACTGTTTATGTTACGCCATATACCTATGTTCCTGAGATTTTCGTGCTTCCCAATGTATTAGAGAAATGATCCCCATCCCAAATTAAGCATCGACAAAAATTTTCAGCAAGATCGGCCTTGTGGTTTTCGAGATAAATTTTTGAGGTACGCAACTTTAGCGGCCATTTAAACCCCGACAATGACTTTTTAAAATTCTCAAAATAGTGCGGCCCTACTAATTCGACCATGCTCTTTCAGATGGCGTCAAAAAAACAAGGTCGAAAAAAACTGTACCAAGCCATCATGGGGGCAGTTCGGGTCTCTCGCAAACGGCCTTTTAAAATGTTTAAAAACCAAGTATCTTATTCTTTTACCCTTTTTTGCCATAGTTAGTCCAAAAACCTCAATTTAATGAAATAACAACACAAAATTTTCCAGAGAAAACAAACAAAAACCGTTCAACGCCCAAATCCGCGCCCAAAATGACTTCATTTCACACCTCGGCGGGGGTCTAAAAATAGCAAATCTCGGTGCCCTTTTTAGATGATCATGCACTATCCGATTACACCCGAAAAACAGTACGCAGGAGGGATTCCCCGACTTTACGATAGCTTTTCCGAGGTTGTTTTTGGAATGGTCTGTACACGCGTTGAAAAATGACGCATTGGGCTTAGGCGCAATCTTAGGTTGACTTTGGTTTACAAAGCTAAAAGCTTTGTTAGGTTGGCAAGCTTGCAGAGATTATTTGGGAAAATATCCGCCGGAAAATGTCGGATTTCACAACCTCGTAAACGCTCGCGCTTGAATAGGGTCTTTCCAGAAGACAATCAGGTGTTTGGTTGGTCCATTGGTTAAGTTCACACCCAGTCCGCGCAAGACTAGAGTTCAACCCCCGCTCGGGGCACCCCTTTTTGCGTTTTGGCCAGTAAGCCTATCAAGCCATGCAGCAACTTTGGGCACTACCTGGATAACATTTTGATCCAAAAATCCCTCTACGCGGCAGGGTCACGCGTGCTACTTTTGTTGACAGCCTCACCAAAAGACGGGTAGAAGAGGGAAGCCGATGGGAAAGTGAGTTTTGATTGAGTGTCGCCCTCCCCATGGCCATTGCATCAAAATGGCAATCTTTTCATGGGGGTGTTGATTGTATTGTTTGGTAGTGGCTGGGTGGGTGCAGAGACTGTGACGAGACCACCGACCGATCTTCCACTACGCGCGGCTCCTCCCCTCGCCAAGGTGTCTTTGGTATATAAACGGAATAGTGAGCGGGGATGGGATATGGGAGCGACGCTGATTCGACAAGCAAAATGAACGTGTTGTGCCTTGCCCTTTTCTGCTGTTTCGTTGCTCTGGTGCAAGGTGGGTTTTGGGATTAATTTTGGGTTTGATTCATTGCCTAAAGCCTAAGCCTAAGCCTAAACCTAAGCCTATTCCTGAGCCTAAGCCTATTCCTAAGCTAAGCCTAAGCCTAAGCCTGATCTATTTTTTGAGTCCGCCATTTTAAAGCCCAACTTTTCCAGCTCGCCCTCAATCCCGATTGGAAGAGCTGCGAAATCTACTCCGAATCCGGAAAGACCTCGAAGAGGCCCACCCATGGGCCAGCCGGAACTTTGTCAAGCCCATCGGCAGCATTGCCGGCGAACCGGTAGGCTTTGATGCAATTCGCAAAGAAACCCTGCTTGCTTGCCTCGTACAAATTTTTTGTGACGCCTTAAGGATCTCGGCTAGTTTGCCTCTTTCTAAAATTCCCACAAAAAACCTTTGCTAGCTTGCTTGAATTCCTAAACCCTTGATGCTCTTTTTTGACCCTTTATTTAGTATAATTTTCAGATCTATCCCCGGCGATTTGAGTCGAATGTCGGTGTGGCTTCGTACACCTTTGACGAAAACGGTATCGCGTATGCTCGCCGGCCTAGGCCTACCGTAGAACAGATTCTACAGTAAGTGTTTTATGTAGAAAATAACTTTTAAAGTCCCAGTGAAGAAAGGCAAAAATAAGATTAATAAAATAAGAAAAAAACAAGAATTTACGTTTTTCCTGTCACGTTCGCTTAAAAACCCAGCATCCCATCATTACATCGTAAATTTACCTATTATCTTCAGAAACAGCCGCAAGGGCTTCACCTACATGTGGTAACCGCTGCTGCTCCTCCTCCCCAATGATCTCTGCTGGCATGCTCGATCTCTGCTCCCAATTTTTGTCTGTACACACCGGCGAAATAAATATTTATAAGGTTCAAAAACTGGTGATAAACATTGGAGAGTTTCGGAGTGTTTCTCTCTAGCTCTCACTCTCTCTTTCACGCTATCTGTTCATTCCCCTTCGGCACGTAGAGACGGAGGACGAGGATGTACGTCTGCTGGTCGTGGTAGAAGCACGAATCGCTGGAAAATGGGAATAAAAATTTTTGTTGCACTCTCTCTCACTCTCACTCTTTATCTCTCTCTCTCTCTCTCTCTCTCTCTCTCTCGCTCTCTCTCTCTCTCTCTTTATCTCACTCTCTTTCTTTATCTCACTCTCTCTCTCTTTCTCGCTCTTTCTCTCTCACACTCTCTCTCGCTTTCGCTCTCTCCCCTCTCTGCCTCTCTCGCTCTCTCTAGCTCAACTTACAAATCGGTCCCCTGGAACACCCGTCCGTTCGTCGACGTCTGCCAGTCGGGGCCCTGCAACGGAAAAAATAGCCGAGGAAACAGACTAGCAGAGATCTTTGTGGATTTTTTGCAAGATGTTCTCTAAAGGTATCTATTTTTAGCCGCCCACCTGTCGCGAGGTGCTGATGACCTGGGCATGAACGAGCCATGTCCCTAGCGGGCGATTGGCGCGTAGCTAAACGCACGATCTTGTAGACGATAGCGTATCCTAGCGGATGGTATCGTAGCATGGTGTGGCCTACAGTAGCACTACATAGCTTATCGTAGGGCTACGTACCGCCGAGCCTCTCGTAATGAGCTACATACCGCCCGAACGTACCTGATCCAATGCATACCGCGTGATCGAGTCCATATCGTGGACGTAGCTGCGGAGTGCTGTCGTGATGATGTTTTCAATCTAAAGGGATGGTGACAGGGGTGTTGTTAAGGGTATCGTATCGTACCGTAACGTCGGTTACTGTAGTCGTATCGAGGCGCGACCTTACCCTGTCGTATAAAAGCACTACTTAGCGGAGGCGTACTGTACCGTAGCCCACTGTGCCGTAGCGGATTGTAGTATCGTCATGGTATATTCGGAATTCAGAGCTGTCCCATTAAATTCTACGTACCGTTTTGTCGCGACAACTGAACGCCGGGTTGATCTTGTAGCCGACGCGGTTGGCTGCCGCCTCGTCGAACAGACCCGAGAAGTTGGCGTTAATGGCAGGCTGGGTGTAGAGCTATAAAGTACAATTAGGCAAGCTAGCAGGGGTTCTTGACAAAAAGCCAAATTTTAGAAATATGGCAAGCTAGCAGGGTTTATTTGAGATTGCCTTAAACCAGCAGCTTCCGAAATACACCTCTGAACGAACCCCACTATGCCTTGGCATGCGAGCAAGGATTATTTGGGGGAAAACCCGCAAGCCCCAGGCACATTTTCCGAAGTACACCTATCAACGAATCCGAAAAAATGGCTACAGTATCGAAAATTATTCTTAATTGAGGGGAAAGTAACCCTCTAGTATTCGCTGTCAGGTAAGAAATCTGCGAAAATTTGCCTTTAACAACCCGTTAAAATGACTTTAATGGAAATAGGAAACCCCCGTAGAAAAATTACAATAGAAATTTACCAAATTTTACTGCATAAAGTCTTTAGGATCTATTAAAGGGACTGGAAAGGTAGACAACTAGTCAGCGTATTGTCTGGTTGAAGAAATCCATAGAAAATTGCCTTCCTGATCCCGTTAAAACCACACAAAGGGTTTGGGAAAGCAAGCCCCATAGTTTCGTTGTCTTAGCGCTAAAATTTGACTCCCCAGTCCCTTTAAAAAAATACACCCGCTAAAACCCACCTTTCTCCCCTCATAAATCCCAGCAGCCTTTGGCGAACTCGACTCGATTCGACAATACCCTACAGTAGCCAGCCCTAGTAGTACGGTAGACAGCAAATAACGGGCGGCCATGATATTTTTGTGAAGTTTCAGCGAAACTGGACAATCCACAGCGCCTCTGCCCCCCTAATAAGCGCGCTATTTATGTTTATAAAAGGAGAGTCGCCTCCGCAAGGAAAACATCGACCGTCCAAACTATCCGTCCCCCCGTTTCCACCACCGAATAATGTTGCGCCCGGGGATGTTTTGGTAAGAAAAATTGCGACGAAGAAGCCATTGGTCATCGGCTAGACAATTTTTAATTATTGTATAGAAGATTCGATATTTAGTATATTTGGCAAGACATGGTGGATACGGTGCGAAATTAAATTAACTCTGATACTTTATGAAGCAAATTTTGGGATGAAATTTCAATAGCAACCCTATCTAAAATCTACTATAGGAAAGATAAACAAAAATTACATCTATCAGGTTGGAAAGAAAGTAATGGCACAAAATCTTTAAACCGCTGCACAAAACCCGCAGGAACGTCCGATTCGAAAGTTTGTTATATGGTTTGGTAGATCTTCTTATGTTCTATCACGAGACGACCTTCGAAACACCCAAAAACTAATGTACGCGAAAATAAAGGCCTCAGAAGTTTCGCAGACCATTCGGTGAAAGCTTCTAAGCGAGATATCTCTGCATACAGGCATTTGCCTACGATACTTTTAACACCAATCGATAGCTCTCGAGGAGTAGATATCGACAGATGTTGAGATCATCAAAATCGGACACTGCATGGCCGAGATATGGGCCTTCCAAAATCAATGCATTTTCTGGATTTTGGTTCGGGAGCCGAAGCAAACGCAACAGTTTTTGGCTCGCGCAGGCCTAAATGTATGGGATTTCGAGAAAAGTTCTAAGAAGTGGAACAAATTTCTAGGGGGCATATCTCGGCCATCCAGTGTCCGATTTTGATGATCTCAACATTTATCGTTATCTACTCCTCGAGGGCTATCGATTGGTGTTAAAAGTATCGTATGCAAATGCCTGTATGCAGAGATATCTCGCTTAGAAGCTTTCACCGAATGGTCTGCGAAACTTCTGAGGCCTTTATTTTCGCGTACATTAGTTTTTGGGTGTTTCGAAGGTCGTCTCGTGATAGAACATAAGAAGATCTACCAAACCATATAACAAACTTTCGAATCGGACGTTCCTGCGGGTTTTTACAGCGGTTTAAAGATTTTGTGCCATTACTTTCTTTCCAACCTGATAAAATCGTTTGATACAGGAACAAAGACTCCCTAAACGATTTTTAATGAGATTGGGAAATTCGAGGGCATAAAAAAGCATCGAAAACTTTGAAAAACTAAACGGAAACACTCTGATTAAGTTTTAATGGTTTTAAAAGGGGCGAATGTTTTTAGAGATGGTTTTTATTTTTTTGGATGGTTTTCTTCTAGAAGTGTCTTCAGCTGGCCATCAACTCTCGCTTCTCCCGACCCGAATCTGATCTCAAAACCGTTCGATTCACTTTATTTCAAATATGCGACCGGAAAGAGACTAATAAATAATCCTTTAGAGGAAACCCAAGCCATCCTGATTGGCTGGAAAAAATTTAGAAGTTTTGTTCCAGGCTGGGATCTTCCGAGGAAGACCAGATTCTGAACACCAAAAAGAAGCCTAAAAATATTCTTTAGAATCGTGAGGAAGACGCTCAGCACAGCCAGACCAATTTGAGTGCTTTTAGTCCTAAGTTTCGAGGTCCTAAGTTTAAGTTTCCGGGCCCAGACCGCACTCTAGCTACTAGCTACCTAAATCGCTCATTATAGCCCGTTTTTCACTTGTCCCGCTTCTCGCTACTTTGCCTAATTAGCACTCCAAGCTAATTGGCGATAAAATCCATTTTTTTTCAGATTTAATAGCCAATTAACACGACCAAAACGGCAACGCGCTTATCTTCTCTTCCTGCCATTCGGCGGCTTCCGAAAAATTCCGGGATGGATGCATGCGTTGGGGGCCGTAAAAGTTCCCGGGGTTGTATAATTTTGCGGTAACCGCAATCGGAGGGGTGGGAATTGACTGTCGGGTGGAGACCTGCCATGGTTAGATATTTTGATTCTGACAGCGGCAGCAGCTGATTAGGTGTTTCGTTGTTGTTTAGAATCGCCTGTTTTGATCTGTTCAAAATAGCTACGTATCTCTCACTCTCTCGCTCGTTCTCTCTCGCTCTCTCGCTATCTCTCGCTCGTTCTCTCTCGCTGGCCCTCTCTATCGCTGTCGCTGGCTTTTTATATTTGCCGTATTATGTTTTATCTATTACCCGCTCTATCTTTCTCTCTATCTCTCCTACCCCCTCCTCTCTCTCTCGCTCTCTCTCTGTCTCTCTCTATATATCTATCTTTCTCTCCCTCTCTCTCTCTCTCTCCCTCTATCAGTCTCACACGTTGACATATTTTTCAGTGCAACCTCGATGCGATTGGCGCCCTTTCTATTCCTCACCCTCATTGTTAAAACCTGCACCTCGGCTACCGTAGCCCCTCCTCGATGCCCAATCTACGCGCATTCAAAGTTGGTGCTCGAGCGAGCCTCCGGGTCTCGTCCTTGTGTCTATGTTAGTGCGGTCAGTTTTTAATTACCAGAACCGTATTTAATTCCGGGTACGTTTTTTCGCCGCATCGCTACGTTTCAATGCGTAACGACGGAGCTCAAGCGCTGCGTCTGGCCGGCGCAAAAATTTATGAGGAATTTAAAACTTTGAAATTGAAAACTGGGACACTTGAAAAACTTTTTCAGGACACGGCGCCTTACCTCGTGCCGAAGAACAAATGTTACATGCTGATGGAGGGCGAATATGCCGAATTGAAAGGGAAAGACGAGCTAGCGGCCGTCGCTAATAGCTTGCCAGCCCATAATATATCCCGGGCGTTTACCGGATGTGCTCGACAATCCGGAAAATGGACCTTTTTGACGTCGGGGGAGGATTGCGGGGATCCAGGTCAGTCTCATTTCCTCTCTCACTCGCTCGCTCTCTCTCTCTCGCTCTCTCTCTCTCTCTCTCTCTCTCTCTCTCTTTCTCTCCCTTGCTGTCTGCTCACAAGAAGTCGTTTTTAGGTGATATTGGAGTTTTTGAGCGAGACCTAGCTAGTTCGATAGAGAAAAAAATTCGGAGCAAGATGTCGTTTTCCAAATCTGCTAACCGTGTATTGTATTCGATAAAAATTAATTTTAATGAAAAAATTCCGTGGCGCCACGCGGCCACAGATGGATCAGGTCCGGGACATTGGCCGCAATGCCACCAGCAGCCGCATGAGATGGTGGCCTAGTGGATAGTGCAGGCGCCTATCAACCTTTTGCAAAATTATGCTGGCGGGTTCGGAACTTTTTTTGATTAGCTGTTTTGCTTTTTGGTTAACGCTATTGAGGCCATATTTGGCATCACAGAGCAAAAAGCAAAAGAGTTTCACTAGCGAGGAGTCGAAACCCGAAGGCAAAAAAAGATAAAACTTGTGAAGCAAATGCACTACCAATATGCCAAGCGATCATGGTGGTTCAAGGGTCTGAAGGGGGCTATGTTCACGTGCACCCCCCCCGAAGCCAAACCTGCGGATCAGCTGAGAAATGATGGACGAAATTAATGATTTTCAAATTAATTTTTATCGAATACAATACACGGTTAGCAGATTTGGAAAACGACATCTTGCTCAGAATTTTTTCTCTATCGAACTAGCAAGGTCTCGCTCAAAAACTCCAATATCACCTAAAAACGACTCCTTGTCAGGCGCCCTCTCTCTCTATCACTTGCTCTCTCCATCTCGCTCTCTCCATCTGTTGCTCTCTCGTTCTCTCGATCTCGCTCACTGTCTCTCTCACTCCCCTCTCTCGCGCGCGCTCTCTCTCTCTCTCACCATCTCTAGCCAGCTTAAAACGAAGTGGATACCTAGACTACACGACCTAAGTTTCGGCTTCAAAATATCTTTCTAGAACCGGAGCCCTACCTTGACAAATTCCCGCACGACCCGGTGTCGCTGGTAATCGCCATCGACGGCTCAGCCCCCGACGTCAAGCAGGTTTCAAACCCGTGTAGCCCAGTTAATCAGCCCAGATGATAGAATTCGCCGATCGTTACGTGGGACATAGTCTTGATGGGGGCACCACGCAGGTGGCCGCCTTCCTCTTCGGCTGCAAGGTAGGGCTGAACATTTTTGGAGCAGCAGTAAACCATAGCCCGAGCCTCTCTGTTCTTAAAAACCATTTTCTAGACCTCCCCGAGCCCACAAGCCTCCTACCAGGGCGACTTCAGAAAGTTCAGCGGTGGGTTGGGGCCGGACCATTGATGCAGAGTATTTTTTAGTGTCGTTATCAGCTGCTGTGGAGAAGTGCGGAGGTGCTGATCCGAAATTTACATATTCCAGGTAAGAGAGAGAGAGAAAGAGAGAGAGAGGGGGAGAGAGAGAGAGAGAGGGAGAGAGAGTAGAGAGATCAACTCCAACCTATCAGATTGATGGCCGACATTGCCTATTACTACTATTCCAACTACCCGGTCGTCACCTCCAAATTTACGGCAATCCCGGTGATGATCCTCACGAGCTTTGCGTAGGTTTTACGAGCTGAGGCTCAGGTTTAAGCTCCGACTCCCCGTAGGCTTGGCCTATGCGTAACCTGGTGCTGATTTTTAGAAACGGCGCCGGCGTCTACCCATTGACTCGGTTGAACACGCAGAGCCCGGTGGCGTTTGTTTATTCTGGAGCAGGTAAGGTATCCTCTCTCTCTCTCTCTCTCTCTTTTCATTTCACTCCCTCTCTCTCTCTCTCTTTTCATTTCCCTCTCTCTCTCTCTCTCTCTCTCTCTCTCTCTCTCTCTCTCTCTTTCCTCTAATAACCCCCTTTCAGCCTCAAACTCCCTCGGGAACCTGGCACTCCCTAAAGGGACCGTGAATACAGTGCGGGATGCGGATTGGGAAGGAGCAGGGGAAACTCTGGAGAAATGGCTCGATCAGGCGCTCTACCGCCCGACCTCTCTGTACGTCTCGGTCATGTGGCTTAACGATAACTTAGAGGTGAACTATTTGCGCTTGTCGAGTTGGGCTCGCTGGTGGTGGCCGCCGAGCCGGGGTGCTCTTCTCGGCCAACACTACAGGGGCGGCGTCGGCGCATTATTTGTGCGAGGTTGGACTGGCTAAGTATAAGTCGATCTTTTTATTTGTAGCTCTTTCTCTCGATTTCTCTCGCACTCTCTCTGTCTCTCTCTCTCTCATTCTCGCTCTGCCGCTCTCACTCTCCAATTTCAGCGTGCTGCCGAACTTAATGCCGAGCCAACCCCAGCCCATGTCTATTGCCCATCAAGCATGTTCTCCTTCGGCACCAAGTGCTACAGTGTCGAGGTGGACCTGATGGACTACGCGACAGCACAGAAGACCTGCCAAGAAGTCGTCTTCAAGAACTCCACCGACCTTGCGTACATCCAGACCCCCGAAGAGATGGAATACATCGCACAAGGTAGAGAGAAAGAGAGAGAGAGAGAGGGAGAGAGAGAGAGAGGGAGAGAGGGAGAAAGAGTGCATCATCAACTATAATAATTTTGTTGTGGTCTCCGTCCGTCTGTGTGAAGCCGAATTCAACTCGAAGGGGAAAGGAGCTAGAGCTTAGCTCTCTTCGGATTCGGATAGAGCGTGGTCGGAAACCCCCAAACTGATAAAAAAATTACGAAAAAGTTTTAGTTTAAATTATTAAAATTAACTTTGAAAGTTTTTTCCTTAGTAAAAGGGGTGGGGGACGGAGGTTGGGGTGATTTTGGACATAGTGAGCCAGGTCGCGCGCGTTTCGTGGATGAAAATTTTCACGGGGGATTTCATTTCTTTTTTGCTCTCATTCCATCCGGTCGGTCGTTATTTTTGTTTTTTTTAAGGGGATTTCAGCCATGGGGGGTATCTAAAGCCATCAAGAAGGTATTTAGGTAGTTTTTGAAGGGGATTTCAGCCATGGGGGTATCTAAAGCCATCAAGAAGGTATCAGGTTGGAAAGAAAGTAATGGCACAAAATCTTTAAACCGCTGTAAAATCCCGCAGGAACGTCCGATTTGAAAGATTGATATAAGGTTTGGTAGATCTTCGGATGCTCTATCACAAGACGACCCTCAAAGCACCCAAAAACGGACGTACGCGAAGATACAGGCTTCTGAAGTTTCGCAGAAAATTGAGTGAAAGCTTTTAAGCGAGATATCTCTGCATACAAACATTTGCATACGATACCTTTAACACCAATCGATAGCTCTCGAGGAGTAGATATCGACAGATGTTGAGATCATCAAAATCGGAAACTGCATGGCCGAGATATGGCTCGTAGAATTTTGGTCCACCTGTTAGAACTTTTCCCGAAATCCCATACATTTTGGCCTGCGCGAGCCAAAAAACTGCTGCGTTTGCTTCAGCTCCCGAACCAAAATCCAGAAAATGCATTGATTTTGGAAGGCCCATATCTCGGCCATGCAGTGTCCGATTTTGATGATCTCAACATCTGTCGATATCTACTCCTCGAGAGCTATCGATTGGTGTTAAAGGTATCGTATGCAAATGTTTGTATGCAGAGATATCTCGCTTAAAAGCTTTCACTCAATTTTCTGCGAAACTTCAGAAGCCTGTATCTTCGCGTACGTCCGTTTTTGGGTGCTTTGAGGGTCGTCTTGTGATAGAGCATCCGAAGATCTACCAAACCATATATCAGTCTTTCAAATCGGACGTTCCTGCGGGATTTTACAGCGGTTTAAAGATTTTGTGCCATTACTTTCTTTCCAACCTGATATTTAGGTAGTTTTTGAAGGGGATTTCAGCCATGGGGGGTATCTGAAGCCATCGGGAAAGTATTTAGGTAGTTTTTGAAGGGGATTTCGGCTAGGAAAGGTATCTAAAGCCATCAGGGAGGTATCGAAGCAGTTTTTTAAGTGGATTGCATGAAGGGTAGCCCGAAGGCCAGATGGTTACAGTCGCGAAGCGACTGGAACCATCTGGTATTTAATACTTTAGAAATCGACAAAACCGACGCCGCAAAGGGGCAATCCAGATTTTGGATAGGATTGAATGCGAGGGATTGTGTGAATTGCACGGCTGGAGCTGGGGTAAGTCCTGATTTTGAATTTTTAACTCTAAAGGGGCCGGGACAAGGATAGATAATTTTGGTATTTTAAATCTTTTCAGTTGGATCAATTTGGCTGGGCCTCTGGACAAGAACTCGATGAGGCGATGAGCTTCTTCCGGGAAGGTGGGGTTTCGAAAACCTCGCTCTCTCACTCACTCTATGTCTCTCTCTTTCTCGCGCTCTATCTCCCGCTTTCTCTCTCTCTCTCTCTCTCTCTCTCTCTCTCTCTCGATCACTCTCTCACTTTTAGGCTGGCCCCGGCCGGGTCCTGAAGAACTCTGCGTCGCCTACGTCCAGAATGACAAAACTTGGGTAAGCGAGAAGCCGGTTCTCGGTCACGAAACCTTTGCTGTCACCACCTCTTTAGTGCATTTCTGGATTTTGGCTTCAACATCCCTTTAAAACGTCAGCCCCGTATTTCCAGGTGAACACGGTGTGCACAAACAAATACATGGCGATCTGCTGGAAGGACGCGGCTACCGTAATCCCCACCACGGCCAAACCGAAACCTTAAGTATACGGCTTTTTGCCTGTTTCCCGGGCTACGGTAGTGCAAGCACCAAAGATCTGATATAAACGCTTCATTTAAAATTTAAATTGTGGAGCAAAAAACGCAAAAAGGGGATTTTGGTAGGAAAATGCACCTGATTACCCCTATCTGAGTGAAATAAGAATGAGCTTTTAAAGGGATCAGCAAGTCTAAAAACTGTATTTTACAGTAAGAAACCATCTCCAGAATGCTACTAATAACATTTAAACGGTTAAAGACACAGGTAAGCCCAGAAAATAGTGTGTTTTCAGACGACTTTTCGGAACAATCCGCCAAGAATTTTCGGGTTTAAAAAATACTGGATTAAATTTTGAGATTAAATTGAACGTGTTTTAAAAAGTAGCTTCTGCAGTAATAAAATGTTGTGCGATTCCAAAACGCCGCAGAGCAACGATCGTTTACTGTGTACACCCGCAAATTAGACATGTACGCATGGCCGTTTCCCTGGAAACTCGTTCGACTTTGTGGAATCGCGACGGGTGGCCAGCACCTCATATGGGGGTACGGTAGTCGCTTCTGCAGGTGGAGAAACGGCCTGTGGGAGCATGATTTAGCATTACAAAGCGATGGGGCTTACGGTAGCTGTGGGGGCGGGGGCAAGTAGTTTGGCCCGTGCCATCGCGTCTTCATAGGATGGGGGGAGGGCCTGGAATTTGGGGGGTTTAAACCAAAGCGAAACGGTGGATGTCAAAAACCATTTTGTCGGCATTTTATTTGTCGAAATTTGTAGAATTGACTCAAACTTGCGGAAAGATACGTATTGAAATTGGTCAAAATGACATTTCGATAGAATACCCCGCTAATTCAAAAATTTAAAATCCTTATGTCTCAAAAATTAGAGCAGCTGCTTTAGATCCAAGTCCAGATTCCCGAATCAGCACAAAAAGCTGGTTTAGAAATCGATTTAAAACTACAAAGACCACAGACTACACCCACGCAGCGGGGGCTGAAATGCCTTCGGTCCGGAACTTGCCGGTTTTGAAAATTAAAAAAATCTATATTTCAAGAACTAGAGTTGCCAGCAAAAATCTAAGCATATATTTGGAATCAGCGCATAAAACTCGTCCAGAAGCGAACTGACGACTAGAAAGACTAAAAACTACGGCTTCATTTGGTGAAGCGGAAGGGACGCTGCTTTGACTTTTCCGATGTGACATTAAAGTGCATATAACTCAAGAACAACGGTTATTGGGAAAAATCTGAGTGGATCGTTAGAATCCGGGCAAAAAAACTGGCCTAGAACCGGCTACAAGCTACAGGCTACAAACTACACACTAACACTCACTCTGTTGCTCGCTGTATTCCGGTCCCGGCTCGTCCATCACCCACCACAGCGGCCACCTCGGCGCTTCCCGGCCGTGATTCTCCTCTTGTCTAAGCACCATTTCTAAATTTTTGCATTTTGAAAAGCATGCCGTTCCACTGTACCCCTCCTCATCTGGCGTCGCTGGCTGAATTTGGCAAAGACGCAGCGACAGCACGAGATCAGGATCACGAAGATGATGATGTCGAGGGCGAATAGCAGCATTTTGTAGACTGGCTGGAATTTGGAAAAGGTTCTCATAGTTTCTGCTAGCTCACGCTCATGTTAGTTCATGTGCCAATGTTCACTCGATTTTATCAAGTCTGAAATGGTTTCTGCTAGCTTCCCGGCCCGCTGTTTTGCTCAAGGCTCGCTTTTAATGTACCAGCTGAACGTAGAAAATCTCAAATGGTCTCTGCTAGCCTGCCCGATGTAGAAGCCTAACCAATCCGCCGACTCACCATATCCTTCCACCAGACCCGCTCCTCATCACCAAAATCGCGGGATTGAGACCCCTGTCGAGTCGGGAATCCAGACCGCCCATCTTGGCCGGCCGGTGAGGGTTGTTGAGGACCACGCTGGAGTACAGGACGCGTCCGGTATTCACATCTTGGACCGAAATAACCGATGAAGCACGAGCAGATCTGGAAACCGGATCATGATCTTTGACTCTTTCTCTCTCTCTCTCTCTCTCTCTCTCTCTCTCTCTCGCCTACCTGAACCTCCGTTTGCCCGGGCGCTATACACCGGAAGTGATTCTCCACGGTTTCGGGCTTCTCGAACGTTGAGCAACTGAAAAGTAAGTTTCGGCTTAGGTTTGGGCTTAGGCTTAGGCTTAAGTCTAGCCAGCTATAGCCTTAGTTTTAGGGTTGGTCTCCGGCTTAGGCTTAAGCTTAAGCTTCTTCGGTTTAGAAACAAACTTACGAAACATTTCGCAACCGTCCACTCAAGCAGCTCTGCAAGAATTGGCATCGATCGCCGTAGAATCCGATGTGGCAGTGGCAGGGGTGGCCCTGGAAATGGCCAAGCTAGCAGGCATCGTTGGGGAATTTCCGGGTTTCGTTAGTGCGCAAATAGGGGCCGGGGTAGAAACAGGCACCCCCAAACCCACCATTAGCGCGTGCTGCCCAAACGGCCTCTCGCTCTAAAAATGAGCATGGTGAGAGAGCGAGAAAGCGAGAGAGAGAGAGAGAGAGAGAGAGAGAGAGAAAGCGAGAGAGAGAAGCTAGAAGTCGTTACCATATATCCGTAGCTCGTAGTCGTCTGGGTCCCGACGGGATCACAGTAGTGTGACAATCCGAGACCTGAAAAATCTGGGTTATTCCCGGGTTTGTTGCGACTTACCTCCACCATAGACTGTGGACACGTCCAAGATGAGGCACAGGATGATACTGGACAGCATTGAGAGGCTGGAAATGGCTTTTTACAAAGCGAGATGTGGCTAAAATGACTTAGAAAGCTTCGAAACTTGGAGAAAAACAGCTTCAAACGCCTCGGCAAAAAAATGCGTAAACATAAAAACAATTTTAACGTCTTAGGTCTTAAAAAACTCCGAAAGCATGCCGGAAGGGGCTAGAATACATGACTTGGGAAACTTAAGACGGGCTTGGTGAGCTTGGAAACCCGGAAAAGGTAAACGAATCCATTAAAGAGCTTCTAGAGCTTAACGAGCGGCTTCGGAAGCTTGAAAAGTTTAGAATAATTCAATTTATTAGCATGCAGAGCGCAAAAATCAGCTGGAGCTTTGACTTGCTTCTGACAGGCTTCAAAGCTTTGTAAGCTTCGAAAGACTGCAAAAAAGTCGGTCAAGAACCCAACCCGAAAATCACATTTCGAAGCCGCGAACACCCACAGAAATTCGCACAAAAAGCCGCGACGCGAAATTTGCACGTGTTGCATGCGAAAATGGGGCTCAGGGAAAGGAAGCGAAATCGGGTAACGATTACTTCCTTCTTGTGACGAAAAGGGGGGAAGGGAAGGGAATATTGTTGACTTTTCAGACGAAAGAACTGAACGGCTTATCGATTAGGGAATGACGTGCCCAGGCAGGTGAGGAGGAAAGAGGGAAGTTCAACAGGTTCAAAACATGGGTTATTCAAGGGGTTGTGAGGTGTAGAGAGAGAGAGAGACCTGAAAAAGGTAGTGAGAGAGACAGAGAGATCGGGAAGTGAGAGTGAGCGAGAGAGAAAGAGACAGAGAGTGAGAGATAGAGCCAGAGAGTGAGAGGGCGAGAGAGCGAGAGATGAGAGAGAGGGAGAGAGAAAGTGATAGAGCGCGCGAGAGAGGGTATGCCACCCATTAGTGTCTGAATACAGTCATTTCGTACCGACCAGAAGCCACCGGCCCGCGGCAACATCGATTTTCCCAATCAGAATGTCTTCAGATTGAGGCTGATAAGGGCTTCTCCCTCCCCGTCCCATATTTTCCCCTATGTTTTTCATCACCCCCCCTCTCCTCGGGTGCCGAAATCGATGCAAAACAGATCCCGGCCAGTGCTAATGAAATCAAAAATCTAAGAACCAAAAACAGCTCCCTTAACGCGGTGGCCGCGCCGCGACACGCATTATGCACCCTTTCATTGCGTAGTAGATTACGCTCCGTTCGGTAAGTGTGTTGCGTTCCGCGTCGCGGCTGCGCTGAGTAATACTCCGTAGCCTCGGCTATAACCTTAAAGTAAGCTTTTTTGGTGTATAGCTTTCAGCAACGCACAACTTTTTCTTCTTTCGTCAGAACCAAATTTATTGCAAGAAAAAGCATAAAAATCCATATATCCTAGTTTCAATCAATATTCGCGCTCCTCCTCCATTGGCAACAGATTGTAGACGTCGGCTCGTCGACGGCCAAGCGTTCCGCGTTTCCTAAACGTTCCGTATAGCTACTATTGACGGATACGGTACTTTAGCGTTGCTCCTATTGACGCTAATTTGATTGTCCGTTCCGTTACTATCCACAAAACCGAATAAAGTAATTAGGTGTGGCTCGTCGAAACGATTACGATATTTCCGTCTCATTACTTTTTACACTGCAACTGAATTATGACGTATTTCTACCTCAGATAGCGCCAAATAAGCCACAACGGTATCGCCAGCGAGACGAACGACACGATCCCAGCCAGCATCCATTTGCCCGCATCTAAATCAATGCGTTACGGTGGAAAATAGCACTTTTTAACCAACCTGGACATCTAATCGGAACCGCCAACTGGTATGGAAGATTTTTGGGTGGTATTCGTTCTAAAAAGTGATAAAATTTGTTTTACCTTTCCAGCGCGATCAATAAAATCCGGTGATTTTTAATATAAAAATAAATGAAAAACTACCGTATTTTGAATGACTGGAAAATATCGCGTAGTCAGCTCTAGGTCAATCGGTTTTGCTTTTTCCCTCGAGCTCGGCCGCTTCTTCAATTTCCTGTCGTAATCGATTTCCGAGCTATCTTTTTCGGCTTTTCCTCCTCCCTCCGAATAGTCCACAACCTTCTTGGCTTTTTCTTAGGCTTGGCTTCGGGCACGGCCTCGGTTTTTTGTCGACTTTGTCGGCTTGGCCTCGGTTTTCGCTTCGATTTCCCGGCTTTTCTGGGCTTTCTTCGGCTTAGCTTCCGCTTCAGCTTCCTCGCTTCCAGCCAGGATTGCCTTTAATCGATCGGCCTTCTCATCTACCGCCTCATCAACGGCTTCTTCCTCATCCTCATCCCAATGCTTTCGAGATGCCTTCTTTTTCATCGTTTTATTGGGGTTTTCTGAAGCTGTTTAGCTTTCTATATAAAATGAAATAGAACGAGGGCATTCAATTACAAAAAAAATCCAAAAAGCTTCAAGAAAAATAATATAAGATAAACATGGATAAGCAGGAGTATCAGTCAAGCCAAACCGAAGCCTTAGTCAAGCTAATCAAGTGAGGTGAAGCCAAGCCAAGTCAAACCGCCTGATGAGCTAAGCCAAGTCAAGCGACGGCAATCCAAGCAGAAACCTAAGTCTGGGTTTAGCTCAAAGGTAAGCCAAGCCCAAACGAAGCCAAGAGCTTTTCAAGCTAAACCCGCCAAAATCGATCTTAAGCTTCGCAATGTCTTTTCCCGGTCCTATCAAGCCGATAGTTCCCTGTCTTGATTTGAATGGCAGGCGCGCGGGCGGCCGTTTGGTTTTTCCGAGTTTCTGCCAAAAATCTAGGCAGAACTTGGAGTTCCGAAGCAATCCTCTGGATGCCAGTTTTGAGTGCACATATCATCTTCTTGAATGGGCTATCATCTCGAAAAGTTCTACCGTAACCCGTTGATTTATTCAAAATCCCGAAAGAAAAATCAATAATTCTGCGGTATCACAAATTGTCGTCGATTAGATGGGCATTCGGTGGTTTGTATTCTTTACGGCAGAATGGGCAGCCGCCCTTCTCCACGACGGCCATCTCCCATTCATCAGCTTCGAATAGCTGAAGCAAGGTTCTATCGGTCTCTCTCTCTCTCACCTTACAACAGCTCGGACATTGCGCAATCGCAAAAGTCGGCATCACATTGAAGAAGTATCGCGTTGGAAGCGGGTCACGCTGCTCGGAAATTACGACCTGAAAATCACAAATTCTTGAAGTCCCGAAAAATCCCTGCTAGCCTGCCCCTCCCTGTATTCCTTACATGACCCTTGTCCATCTTCTCCAGTTGCTTTAGGCTGCAGATCACAGGAGAACCGCGCTTCTGAAAAACTGGTTTAGGAGGATGAAAGAGACAGAACCAGAGCGAGGGGGAGAGAGAGAGAGAGAGAGAGAGAGAGAGAGAGAGAGAGAGAGAGAGAGAGAGAGAGCGAAAGAGAGAGACCCTACCGTCTCTTGTATCGGACTGTAGTCGGGCTGGCCCATCGGCGGCTCGGCCAGAATGTGGAATTTCGCGTCGCCGGAGCTGACCCCCGGCTCGACGAAGAATTCGACGAGGGGAAGGACTTCTGTAAAATAGAAAAATTCCATTATTTACCTAATAACGAACCTAACGTTGCGAAGCTATAGACGTAAGGTGTCGAGCAGTGCACACATTTCTGGGTTACGGTAAGCGGGCTGGTGGATTCCGCACCTGAAAAATGTGGTAACGTATTCCTCTCTCTCTCTCACTCTCTCACTCACTACAACTCTCTCTCCACTCTCACCTATAACACATTGGCAGCAAATCCTTCGATCCGTAAACGGCTTTGCCCTCACTTTTACCGTAGCCACCTCCACTAGCTTTTCGTACCTGAAGTTCATTTACCAATTTATAGCTTTTTTTTACAAACCTGGGCGGCAACCCCAGCTGCGTCAACCGATCCAGCCTCTCCTCGCCAGCTTGTACGCTCCCAACTCTTGCCCCAGCTTCGCCAGGTGTAGTTGATCATGCTTAAAGAGATGAGGATCGGCATCTGTTGAACCCCCTTGGGAGGGGTTCAACAGGTCCCAGCGGCGATCTCGTGCGAGAGAGGGCTCCCAGAGGAGAGGCGCAGAGACATTTTCTTTCCTCGCGTATTCGATTGACTTATGCCGCTTCTATCTCTTTAAAGATTTGTTCGCTCTTTCCCCTTTCTTTCTCTCTCTCTCTCCTCTCTCTCTCTCTCCCTCTCTCTCTCTCTCTCTTCAACTCACACTTTCGATACGCGCCGATACGTCGGATAGGGTGATAGGAAGCGAGCAGCATTCAGCAGGGTAGTAACAGGCAATCGGGTAAATGGCTGACTGCAGAAGCGGTGAATCCACTCGAACACCCAGTAGACGTCGGCGTCGTTCAGGGCTTGTCTGAGGTATGGAGGGTCAGTGCGAGAGAGGAGAGAGAGTGAGCGAGTGAGTGAAGGAGATCGAAACAAGCTTACAGAGCCCTCGGCAAAATCCCCGGATTCTTGTGGACCCGATCCAAATACTGGAAGCCGAGCAGCCAGTTGTAGTATCCGGCGTCGGAAAAACTGGAAATGTCTAATTTTTTATGAATTTCTTGATCCCAAACAGTTTATGCTAGCTTGCCCATCAGTAATTCCTAGATGATTTTCTTTTGGTTCACACCCTGAACCCGAGCCGGATAATTAAAATCCGGGAAAATATCTGCTAGCCTGGCTGATTCAAGACGTTCGGAGAAACTCCCAAAGAATCTCTGCCAGCCCTCCCCACCGATCCTCCATAATTGCGTTCTCCTTCAGCTGCTCCAACACTTTCAAAGCCTCTGCGTCGCTTCCGGCCAGGTGGAACGCTGTAAGGTGCTTGGTCTCCTGGTCCCCCCTCCTCTCTCTCTCTCTCTCTCTCCCATACCCTGCCAGCCCATCGAATTTGTCTTGTTCCGCGAGACTCCGCGCGACGGCAGATAGACGGTCTCTTTGAATTTTGGGCCATCGCTCGGCGATGGCAAATGCCTGGAATAGGATTAATTTATGGGATTCTGGAAAGCCCACATCGTTCCAGTGCTTGGCGGAGACGTGCATCTCCAGAAGGGATTGGACATCGCCAATTTCCTGAAAAAATTACGGTTTTAAGCGAGAAAGAGAGCGAGAGAGAGAGAGAGAGCGAGAGAGAGAGAGAGGGGAGAGGAAGAGGGAGATAGAGAAATCGAGAGGGCCCAAGCGAAATAGAGAGGGTAGAGAGCGAGAGAGGGAGAGAGAGAGATACTAAGACTCACCACAAAAATCTTGCTGGCCACCCCATAATCCTTTTTCGAGATAAAATACGCTGCTAGCCGACGCAAATTCGTATGATCCGTCCGTTCGATACGCCGTAGCGCATTAATGGCCCTAAAAACACAACATCCATCCAACTCAACGTTTCTCTAAAAATCGCTGCTAGCTTGCCCATCCCCGTCGCTCGGGCACGACTTCAACAGGGACATAGCCTGTCCCAACCCCGAAGATAACTCACAAATCGTGCTAGTCATGCTCCTCGATCAGCATGATGGCCTTCTCGAAGTCGCCGGAAGCGATGAACATCTCGGCAGCCACCTGAAAGCCAGAAAAACATTGTTAGAAAATTTATTTTAAATCCAAATCTGCTGCCTTTTCAAAATGTCACAATTCAAAATCCCGCGCCCCTGCTACCCTTACCTTTGGCTCGTTGCTGTCGCGGGCCCAATCCGCTCTCTTGCGCAACAGCATCCCGCTGCGTCTCCCCGAGGTGTTCGCCATGATTTCCTGGAAAATTGAATTTTTTAGTCTCGAATTTGTCAATCACAGCTTTAAAGTTTCCCCAGACTGAAAAGTAATCCTATTTTCCTTGAATTTTTACCTGTGCCTCGTCAAACATTCGCATATCCGTGTAGAGCTCGAGGGCTTTTTGTTCTTGGCCGTTTGTCTAGAATGAAGATGGAAGTCTGTAGTTTATTGACATCTCTCTCTATCTCTCTCTCTCTCTCTCTCTCTCTCTCTCTCTCTCTCTCGCTCCGCCAAAAAAACCTACTTGTAAAGCTGGGCACACTCGTGGAATTTGCCCTGGTAGGCGAGCAGCAGGGCGCGCACATTTAGGTCACTCCCTCGCCTCGCTTTGCATTTGCTGGAAGAGAGGCTTAGGATCCGCTTGGCTTAGCTTAGGCTTAGCTTAGGCTTAGATTAGGCTTAGCTTAGGCAAGCAGGCTTAGCTTGGGCTTGGCTTGGAAGCAGCAAGCAGCTTGAAGCAAGCTTGAAGCAAGCAGGCTTAGCTTAGGCTTAGCTTGAGGCTTAGCTTAGGCTAGCTGAGCCAGCTTAGGCTAAGCTTAGGCTTAGCTTAGGCTTAGCCCAGGCTTCAGCTAACTACGCTAATAAACCCACGATAATCGACGCGATCAACGTCAGCTTGCGGAGATCGCGATTCCGGGCAAAGCACTTGGCCGCCTCGCGTGCGAGGTGCAGGTGGGCGAGGCACTGGAAGTCGTAGTTTTTTGCTTTCCTGACCCCCTTTAAAGTACTGTCCCCTTTAGTTCCTTTGATCTAACTACCCTACTCATGGCCAAGCCGCGACACGCAACGCGCCCGCCCGCCGCGTTGCGTAGCGCGGCATAGACGAAACCCATAGTTGTGACCAGGCCGTACCGGTGCCGAGGTTCCAGGAGACACCCAAAAAATTTTGACGACCTCCCCCGGTCACCACTTTCAAAACATTCGAAAATAGCGACTACAAACAGTGCCGCAGGCGAAAAAATTAGAAAACCGCGTTTATAACGCCAAATTCCTCGTGAAAACACATCGGAAACGGCGCCGCGCGCAAGCGAAATTCTTGTTCAGCAAAAATGGTGCACTAATGAAAACGAGCGCCGCAGGCAAAAATTTTAGAAAAATAGGTTTTCTAGAAGCCAAAATCAGTTTGAAACAATGATAAACAGCGCCGCAGGCAGAAAAATTTTTGCGAAAAAACTGCAAGGGTCCCCTCCGCGAACTTTTCGGACCTCGACCGATCTGGGGGGGCCGGTGCCCCCCTCGTACGGGCCTGGTTGCCATTTACAAACCCCTTTAATCACCAACGCACCGGATTTGCCGAGATCAAACCCAACTCTCCCTCGTCACCCCATGTTATGCCACCTCATAGGCCGTGCTGAAATTTGCATATTTTGTCTAGAATTTGAAAATTAGTGCATAAAGCCGTCTCATCTATTATCATAGTTACTCGGCATACGTATGTCCGGAAATGCGCGCTGACTACAACAATATATGTTTCCCTTTGGCCAAAATCGTTCCATTCGAACTGTGCCATGGCCACCGTGGATCGTCGCTTCTGCGCCCTCTGCAACTCGTCCATCGGTGAGGAGGTGGGCTCTTGATCCTCCATAGGTCCCCCAAAACATTTTTGGTTCACGGGTTCTTTCGGGGATTTCAGGCGGTCGTCGCGATGAATCGGCTGTGGCATCTGACCATTTCGCGTGCCACTCAGTGTGTAAGCGCCCCATCAAGCGAAAATGTTCCAGGCGGCCGAGAATCACGCTTACTGCGTGCAGTGCTTCGCCCAGAAGTACAACCCTAAGTGTGCCGGTAAGGGCGGTTAGAGAGAGAGAGAGAGAGCTAATTTTCTGGCGTTATGCTGCGCACTGTCGGGTACTGCAGCACAGTGTATACTAGCGTAGCGCGTCGTAGAGTAGCGTGCTCGTAGCGTAGCGTAGGTTATCGTAGAGTATCCTATCGTAGCGTATCATAGCGTAGCGTGCTGTAGCGTATCGTAGCGTAATGTATTCGATCGTAGCGTAGCCTATCGTAGCGTATCGTAGCGTAGCGTAATGTATCGTAGCATAGCGCGTTAAGTATCGTAATGTAACGTATTGTAGCGTAGCTTATCGTAGAAAATCGTAGCGTAGTTTCTAGTACCATGCCTTCTTTTCAGGCTGCAAGACGACCTTGGTGGACACTTGCCTGATCGCGCTCGACCACCACTGGCACCCGTCGTGCTTCACCTGCACGTCGTGCAGCCGCCCTCTGCCCAATGGAGAGTACTACTTGGTATGCAATTTCTCTCTCTGGCTCTCTTTCTCTCTCTGTCTCTCTCTCTCTCTCTGCCCTCCAATTCCTCTCTCCAGGTTGACGACAAGCCCTACGACCTCGACTGCCACTGGGCCAAACGGCTTGAGAAGCGTGAGCACCAGGAGCGTGATGGTGTCGTCCCGAACGGGCCGAACTGCCGCCAGAAGCCCTATTAGAGCTGTTTCTCTGCGTCTCCCTTATCTGCTCCCTCTCTCTTCCCTTACATATCCATCCAACCGTTATCCCTGCCCTCCCCCGTCCTTCGTCTCAATTCTTCCGATCTCCATTGTGCTTCTTTTACCGGGTCTGTAGAAATAAACGGTCTGCATTTTCGGTTTGTACAGAATGCTACGCATCCCGCCGTACAGAGGAGCTTTGCGTAGCAACGTAACGGGAATTGGAGCCGTGACGTACTACACCGGCGAGAAGAGAAGGAGTTGTGCGTAGTACCGTATTAACCTCAGGAGGCGACGCGTATCAACCTACAGGGAAGAGCGGATGAAGATTTCTGGAATCATGCAGGAGACCTTGTGTACTACCGTACCTTGGCGTAAATAGAAAGGTTTCGTACTGCCAAAACATAAAATCCAAGAGAACCACAGTACCCTAACGTCGATAGGGGCTTTCCGTACTACCATATCTACGTACATAGAATTGAAGCGTACTAGAGTACCCCAGCTGTCCGAGGACCTTCCGAAAGCTTAGCTACGCAGATATTCGCAGGTAGTACGTACACAAACTCCTTGCGGTCGACAAAATGCCGCACGTGCGACGCGAACGATATCTCGACGGCCGTCATCGTGTACATGTGCAGACAGTAGACCATATTGCCCGTGAAGCCGACGACGAAGCCCTGCAAAGTTTTTTGTTGCTCTCTCGCCTCTCGCGCTCTCTCGCCTCTCTCTCTCTCCACTCACCATCATTCTCTGCGTCGTGCTGGGCCCCATCCCGACGCGCGCACCGTCAGGATGCCGTTACCTAAACGTCGCTCTGTAAGCCATTCAGCAACTGCGCATCGTACGGTATCGTAACTTTCCGTAATTTGTAAATGACGTGCTTTGTGAAATAATATCAACTTACCCGCGTAGCAGATGAGATTCTCGTACTCCGTGTTGAGCGTGCTGTTGCAGATTTGGCTCCTGAATTTGGTGGGGTGAAAAAGTTTCTGAATCGAGATTAGACAAACACTGACCTCAGCCTGCTCCCGAGCTCGAAGGCTTAATCCCTAGGCATAAGCCTCGGAAATCCCTCCAAAGCCGACCTGAAGCAAACACTTCCATCGTCTTCAAATTGAACTACCATCGCGATCCCATTCTCATCGACCAGCCCCAAAAATCTCACTGTAAAGCAGTTCTACCGTACTCTGGAAAGATACCGTGCGGTGGAATCATTGACTGGTGTTTTCTTACCGTGATAGAGATAAATCGAGGCATCGCACCGAATTCACGAGCTTCGAAGGGCACCGGAAACCAGTTGTCGATAAAGAGCTTTGGATCTGAAGGGAATGTTGAGATCCACTAGGCCTTTCCTGCCTGACCATCTCGGAGTCCAAGAAGGATTGTCTCACGTCCGGCCGGCCCGCCGGAAACCTGAAATTTGGAAAATTAGGCAAAATTTCTCAAAAATCGTTGCTCGTATGCCTCAAATTTCTGCTAGTAGTAAGCCCCGATCCAAAGACTGTGGTAATTCTCAAAGAATCTTTATTCGCTTTCCCGTCCCGCAGAGGAATCCCATCTACAAGGATCTGCTAGCTTGCCCGCACACAGAACCCTCCAAAATCTCACCTTGTATGTACCGTATATGAGTCTCCGCGATCCATTCCCGTGGCCGTAACCCTTGTATGTCCTTATTAATCGAGCTTCTGCTCACTACACATCAATACGTGCCGAGCAGTCACCACCTAAAAGCTCTTTCAATTCCGCTACTCTCAACCCACCAGCAATGAACACTCGAACGATTTGAGAATCCGCTCGACCAGCTTGTACTCCAGCGGCTCCCGGGCGATCCCCCGCTGACCTGCTTGTAGATGTTGATCCGGTCCGAGAGTTGCACCTGAAAATCCGGGGTAGTTTAAAGGGGCTGTGAAGCCGGCGGTGATGATTGGTCAAGCCTCTTTCTTGGCTTCCTTCTTGGTCGGAAAATGTCGAAAAGCGACACGGTCAATGGCGACAACCAAAACCAGGACGTAAAAATCCCGACCATCAGAAATAACGACAGCCAAAATCTCGCCATCGATGCTGAATTGTAGTGCAACTTTATTGAGCTTGTCGGGATTTTCGGCTTCCAGGACTGGCATATCGGCACTCTGATGGGAATGATTTTATCCTGCCGGCACTTTGCTGTCCGTATTTTTGTGTTGGGAACATGACTGTTGGGATTACGGTTATTTTTGATGTCGGCATTTTCGTTGTCGATCTTTTGGCTTGAACTTCCCGCCAGCTTATTGTCGCAGATGGCGACCTTCTTCACCAGATCGTAACTGATGCGGACTTGGGTATGGCGGGATAGGTGCTGAACTATCCTCATCCGTCATCCCCTCGCGGTTCGCGTATCTGAGCACGAGTTTTCATTGCGTAATAGGATAAAACTCTAGGCAACAGACTACCAAACTAAAGTTCGTAAGTTACCTCCTCGTTATGCAACCCGTGTACGGTGCTGAACATGAGCTGATAGCACGCGATCGTCCCGTCGATGAGCCGGCACAGAATTTCGTAATTAAGGCTCAGGCTCATGCTCAGCTTACCGACGAGTATCATCGAATTTGGGCGGATGGCTAGCGACCATATCCAAGTGTCCATCTGCGAGATCGTGCCAAGCTTGATCCCCTAAATTCCGGCAAGTTTTCAGGCACCTCCTAAATGGTCTCTGCTAGCCTGCCCTTTCTTACCCATTCTCGTGTAGAGCATTGCCGCCTTGTTCGGACCCGCCGATCACCAGGAATTGGCCCGCGTTGAAGTATGTGGGGCAGGTGGGGTCGTCAGTTGAGCTCGCGTTCACGGGCGCTTTCACCTAAAAATATTGGGTTAGTGTCATGCTCGCCCTAAAACCAACGTCACCACTGCCCTTACTCTCTTTCTATCGATCTTGCAAGGAAACGTTGGTTTTACGTAGAGAGAGAGAGAGAGAGAGAGAGATCGTAATAGAGAGGAGTATAGAGAGGAGTAAGAGAGAGGTGGAGCAAGATTAAAGTCGGCAAGCACGAGAACGAGAGCGATATAAAACTACAAAACCACCCCTTCCATGCCTCCAGATCCATAGAACGAGATCGTCCGCGCCCAGTCCGTAATGCAAAGAACCTCGCCGGTCGGCCTAAATTTGATTTTTTAATGTTGACTTGAACTTAAAACTTTTAAGTGTCTTTATAAACAATTATATTCATTACAAAATTATCAATTTCATCTGCTCATCGAGCTCCATCTCTAGATCCAAAAAACTCACTGATCCGCATATCGTGAGCTGCCATCTTCGGCCCTAAAAAGTGCCATCGACTCCCCAACGCTACCCACTTACACCTTTGGCGGGCTGAACCCCAGGGTTTACCTCGGCTCTCCGCCAGGCCTCTCGATCTTGACGTGGTGCTCCTGTTGGCTCTGGCAAATCATGGCGGTTTTATAGGAGCTGAGAAGTCAAGTTATAATGTGGGCAAGCTCTGAGTCCTTTGACTTCACAGCTCCTTTAAATGACCATACCGGCTCGTTGCTGAGTACGTCGGTGATGCGCTTCATGTAGACGGCCCCCTCAAATGTTGCCGATCGCGAATATACTGTAAAAATACAGGGTCATCAAGTTCAAGAGGACGGCTAAAAGTGGACCGGCAAGGTTCTATCCTCAAACCCGGCTCTTGGGATTTTAGCTTGTCTAGTTTTATTGGTGCCGGTATCTGGCTACCCTACCATCCTGATCCCAGGCGCCCGACGTCGGCCTCTCCTGCACTCGAATCTTGGTCACATTCGTCTCCTCCCCGGACCAGATCCCCGAACGCTACCAGTTAAAGGACTTTGGCCTGTTGGGCCCTTAAAATCGGCAAAGGGCCGTAGGGAGGACTCTAGAACCCTTTGCAGGCTCACCAAAATCCGAAAATGCCACCGATAGAAGATAGAAGCTGTGTTGGGGAGAAGATGACCTTCTGGATCGCCTCGTGGTACACTAAAATTAATCCATTTTAGACATCTAGTCCATTTTAAACAGACTCTTAGACTTAAACTTAAACATAAAAGCGTTATTTTTTAGCAGTGTCTCCATTTAGCCACTAAGCTTGGTCCCCAAATGACTGCCACGTTGTTCTAGCTCCATCGTAATATCTCCCCATAAATGCCCGAACTGCGCCCGGTCTTCCAGAATCCAAATTCGATTAGCCGGAAATACACAGCCCTGGCCCAAAGTGAAAGGCCACCACCCACCGTAATTTGCGACGAATGGACCCTTAAGGAGCAGCCAGCTGGGTCTCGAATGAATTAGTCATATCACGATCTCTCTCACTCTCTCTCTCTCTCTTCTCTCTCGCTCTCTCTGCCTCTCTCTCTTCTGTGACGAATTCGTTTTGCGTAAAAATAGGAGTAGGGGATGTTCCGAGCACAGCCACGCTATAATATGCCTAATTACTAGACCATGGAGAGTAGGGAACCTGAATATTCGATGAGCTTGAACTTTCCGGGCTCAAAGAGTCCCACTCCCGAGGAGTAGTAATGATTAGGGATGAGCTTCCGTCTGGAGGCCTACCTATTCGGCTTGAGTTTCCGATGTGGCAAAATTTTCAGGTTCCCGGCGAGTAGAGAGAGAGAGAGGGAGACGGAGAGGGAGAGAGCGAGAACGGACAGAGAGAGAGAGAGCTGAGAGAGAGAGAGAGAGAGAGAGAGTGAGAGAGAGAGAGAGAGAGAGAAGAGCGAAGAGCCAACCCAAATAACCCACGTGTATTCCAAAGGGTCCCTTCGTGCTGCTCGGTCCAGATTATTACCGACTTATCCGCGCTGCTAGTCATGAACCGTTGCCCATCGTACGACCAGGCCACCGTATAGACAAGGTCTTTGTGCCCTGAAAGTGCTATTTTAGGGGAACGAGAGAGAGAGCGAGGAAAAAGAGGCGAGAGATAGAGGTGAGAGAGGGAGAGAGTGAGTGGTGAGAATTGTGCTTTTACCTACCTTTCAGCGCCTGCAACAACGTGCCGTCCACACCG